GAGGGGTATAGCCAAGATGGTTCCAAGGCAAGGGGGGGGGGGGGGGGATGTTTCAGCACCTCCTGGCCAGGAGGACGCAGGCTGAGGTTGGAAGCCGCCCCTGCTGCTGATGGCACGTGGCTGGGAAGAGCTTGCCCGTCACAAAGGGGGCTTTCCCTGTTGCCAACAGGCGAGCGAGGCCCTTCCGGGAACCTTGCCATCCCCAGTGCCCAGGGAGCCCCCCCGAGAGCGGATGGGCCCCGGAGTCCCCAGCCCTACTTACTCTCCTGCAGGCCAGGCACCAGCTTGTAGACGATGTCCTGCATGACACGGTCCAGCTTGAGGTTGAGCAGCGGCTGAGTCTCGTGGATCTTGGTGCTGCACAGAGGGCAGTACTTGCTGGTCTGCAGGAACTTCACGATGCAGCTCTTGCAAACTGCGGGGTGGGAAGAGATGCCCTGACCGGCTGCCCCCAAGGCCCTGGGGGTAACCGGGCAAGCATGGCCCCGCCCCACCGACTATACGGCTCCTGCAGCTGGCACTATGAGGATGGGGGAGAGGGGGGGGGAAGAGTGCAGGGACAGGATCCAAGCCCTGCATTCTACCTCTAGCAAGTGGAGAGGACGATGCTGTTTTTTCCCCTCTTTCAAAGAGTAGGCTGCCCTTGGTGGAGTAGAAGGTGCGGGATAGTTTTGAGTGAATAAACCCCACAGCATTTGGAGGGTTGACTCGCCTCATGATAAGAGTCCTCTGGCTTAGAAGATGAGAGGAATGCCAAAGCCACCTCAGCAAGTTCTCTCATGAGATCTGCCTTCCAGAAACCTTCCAGACACCTGGCTGGCCACACCCAGGAGCAGCTGTTCTGCTTCAGTTTTAATGGAATTAGCAAGGGAGGGGGGGTCCATCAGGAAGGAGGCCCTTGTGCTATTCTAAATCTCGATCCACGAACGAGGGGAGACCGCAGAAGGAAAACCCACCCCCCTCACACAAACCAGAGCTGGCTTGAAACGAAGCCGAAACGGACTGCAATCTGGATGATGAAGGGGTCAGGAATCGGACGCCAGGAATCTGGGTGGCCCCATCCAGCACAGCAGCCGTGGCAGGATGGTGTACAGCTGCCAGGGCAAGAAGTGTGGCTGCCCCCTCCACGCTGCCCTATTGGGCCCAGGGCAGAGTTCTGTGGGCAGCGCCGGGAGCAGGGGAGTGAGTGGTGGGAGGCTGAGGGGAGGGTGACCACAACGGCAAAGGGGAGTTCCCCCCTCTTTTCTCGGGGGATGTCCAGCTGACAGGTGCAGGGAGGGAGGCAGGGAGGGGAGGTGTCAGGAGAGCAGCCGTCCAATATCTGACGATCCCCTGAATAAGCCCGTGGATGAAGAGGGCGAGGAAGGAGGGTCAGGCAGCTTCTGGGAGAACTTCCTGAGCTTGAAGGGCAAATTCTTCTGGGGGTTCGCCTTGGCAGCGGCCGGTCGAGGATGATCGGGGGGGGGGGGGGAATGCCTGCACCCCAAGGGCGGGGATGAAGGCACCGCAAAGACCCGGGGCGAGAGCAGCCGCGTCGATGCGGGGAAGCCGAACCGCCCTCTCCCCCCTCCCCAGGACCCCTCCCCACTCACAGGTGTGCAGGCACTCGGTGATGGTGGTGGCGTCGATGAAGTAGCCGGCGCAGAGGAAGCAGACGATGTGCTCGTTCAGCTCCTTCATCTTCACTTTCACTTCCTCCTGCGGACGGAGGGACCGGACAGCCGGGCCGGGTCAGAGCCGCTTCCCGAAGGACGGGCGGGCGGACGGGCGGGCGGGCAGATCTACCCCCCCACCTTGCACACCGCCGCGACTTCGGCTCCGGAGCTCCGATTTTCCCACGCCCGCCGCAGCAGCACCGCCGCCGGCGCGGGGCCACCGAGCGAGCGGAGCACCGGCCCAGCCCCGCCTCGCCCTCCCCGCCTCACCTCGTTCCGCAGCGGGTCCATCTTGTAGACGGCCTGGAGCTGGTTCCGGAGCCGCATCGCGATCGCCATCGGACCCCCCGGAGGAGGAGACGCCATCTTAGAGCCGCCAGCCCACTTCCGGGTGGGAGGGAGGGAGGGAGGGAGGAGGAGGAGGAGGAGGGGGCGGGGCCTGTGGCCGCCGGAGAGACTACAGTTCCCGCCGTGCCGCGCGGCGGCCGGACTCGGACCCTGTGCGCTCGGCGGTCCGCCCGCCTGTGAGGCTGCTGGTGCGGGGTGGGGTGGGGTGGGGAATCGCGAGGGGTGGGTGGGAGGGAGGAAGTTCCTCGGGGGCTTTGGCGGCTTCCATTAATTAATAATTAATTAATTAATTAATTAATTAATTACAGATTAAGAGTTGGAAGGGACCTTGTAGGTCATCTAGTCCACCCCCCTCCCAAGCAGGAGACCCTACCCCAGAGGTCCTCAAACTTGGCAACTTTAAGACTTGTGGACTTCAACTCCCAGAATTCGCCAAGTTTGGAGACCCCTGCCCTGCACCGTTTCTGACAGATGGCAGTCCAGTCTCGTCTTGAAAGCCTCCAGGGATGAAGGTCCCACAACTTCCGAAGGCAACTTCTTTGTCCCAGTAAAACTCTTCCCGGAGCTGCTTTACCCGTGGGAGAAATGAGGTTGACATACCCATGCCCATCAGTGCCCAAAATTCCCCCAGGACAGGGGGACCCCAACCTTGGTAACTTTAAGACTGGTGGACTTTCAACTCTCAGAATTCTGGGAATTGTAGTCCACCAGTCTTAAAGTTGTCAAGGTTGGAGACCCCTGCCCCAGGAGGTTGGGGGTCAGCTCTTTGGGCGGCTTTTGCTCGGATTCCTTTTGGGTAAGAAAAGCGGCAGCCTTTTGCTTGGGCTCCACAGCCTTGTTAGGTGGGTGGGAAGGCCGGGTCTTGGGAGCAGACAAAGGTGAAGTTAGGATCCCCTCCAATAAGTGACCTGCTGGATGACCATCAGGGGGGTCCCTCAGAGAAGCCAGCCCAACCCAATGCAGCTGACCGCTCCACACTTCCGCCAAGGTCCGGCTGGGCCGAAAGCGCCTTTCGAGGAAAGGCACAACTTTGTGGAGCGGAAGGGGAAGACTCAGGCGGTGGGGTGCACCTGCCAGGCCCCCAGTCAGCCCCAGGGAGCCTTTTAGACAGAGAGGCATTTTGGCAACTTGCCGGGTCCCAAAGGCCACCCCGAGCCTTTCTCGCGCAGCTGGATGTCACCAGAGTGGGCAGGAGCTAAAGCTGGATTCAGTGACTGTCAGCAGCTGAAGTGGGATTTACCAATGCCCAACAGGCCCGTTTAGATGCCCCTGACTGGGAAAGGGCACCAAGGAAGAGGAAGATGTAACGCAGGGATCTCCAACCTTGGCAACTTTAACACTGGGGGACTTCACCTCCCAGAATTCTGGGAGTTGAAGTCCACAAATCTTTTTTTTTTTAAACAAATTTTATTAATTTTTAAAAGCATACAAAACATACAAGATAAACATAAAACCTTTTTTCTAAAAATTTCTAAAAATTA